CAGGAGATTGTCATGACCAGGACCACACCCCTAAATGCATTGAAGCAACTGCCATGTGATTGGTTGATTAGATAATTGCATTAATGAGAAATTAAACAGGTGTTCCTAATAATCCTTTAGGTGAGTGTATATATATATAGATCAGTTTAAACTTTGAAGCAATTCATTCCAACTCTAAAAGAGAATCGACCATATTTTTTACTGTTATACTTCTGGAATGATTTAAAACCACAACTTATAACAGAACTCTGAATATACATGCATTACAAAAGTTATTAAAGCCAGACTTTACATTCTGCAGTCACAGAGATCCCAATCATACAGATGAAGTAAATAAAAGTGTAAAGCCCATCTTACGTTTTACACGCAGGCTCATTTTGCTTTCTGAGCTTTTCCCTCCGTGGAATTTTGCTGTACAAGTGATGTCACTGTCATCATCACGTGCATTTGGAATAAAGCTCAGGATAGATTGAACTTCCCAAATTCCGGGTTTATGGTTATTGTAATGGATAATAATCTCATTGTCGAAGGGCCAGCTCCAGGTGAGGACGGGCATGTGAGAAGGGCAAGTGTGAGTAACAGAGCAGGTGATGGTGTCGGGTCGCCCTTCATATGATTTTTCTTTATAAGTCAGTTTTGGCTTTTCTGGAGTGTCTGTATGGAATATAATTCAAAAAGATTTTTTTTAAAAAGTTGTTTCAATGAGTCTTTCAGAATATAATATATTCAATTGTGACTACTTATTATACACTTTGGGGTACATAAGACAAATAAACTTACCAAAGGATCTGATCGATACACATCCTTCTCGAAAGGAAAAATTATCTTGATCAGGAATTTCAATCCTGAAGCAAAATGGACCATTATCATGGTCTTTAACTCCATCAATCTCTAAAGTACAGTTATCATCGCCAAGCTTTCCCAGAAGTCTTGTGCGGTCTTTAAAACTGTCAATAACTTTTGATACTTCAGCAGCTAAAATGTACTGTTTAGTATTTAAATTCTCTTCCTTCTGGTGAAGATGCCAAAGGCCACTTAGTCTGGAAGAGGGTTTTTGGCCACCGGGGTATCGAAAGCGACAGGGTACCACCACACACGATCCTGTCAGAGCATTTATGTTTGCCAGAACTTCTGCTTCCCATTCAGCAGAAAAGACAGGAGAAAAGAAAGCTGTGGAGTGTAGAGAAAAGGAGAACAGATAACAAAATACATATTTATTAACATTTTCCACTACATTGATCATATGTTATAAACATGTTACACAGGTTTCGCGAGAGATAATGAATGGATATAATATAAACTTTGAGGATGAGGTAAATTAGGATTACCTTGCATACTGACACAATACAGAAACAATTTTCCAAGAAAATCCATATTTCTTCTGTTCAACAACACTGTAAAACAATAAGAACATTGTTAAGCATCTATTTAAACTGTCTTATGTCAGAATCACTAATTTTGGATTATTGGGGACTGTTCTGTCCTATATGCATGCTGTGCATTTGTTGACAGACAGCTAAACGCTTTACTCCAATCAAGACTCTGGGAATGGTTTGCCAGGTTTATTGGTGAAGCAAAGGTGAAACTAAAAAGAAAACAGGTGAAATAAACATAAATAATGAATAGTATCTATACAGATGCATAGATTATCAAATAACTTCATGTTGCATCCACACTAGAGGTCGACCGATATATCAGCCAGCCGATATTTAGCATATTTTAATGTATTGGCATCGGCCGATATCCGAGGGTAGTACGCCGATTTACAGGCTGCGGGCAGCCATGGGGTGCGTTTCCCAAAACCATCGTTGCTAGCTATGTTAGCAACTTGCATGGTTCGAACTATGTAAGTACGACGCAGGTGTTTCCCGAAACCATACAGTAGTTCGAACTACTGAGGTAATGATACTGTGCACTTATGTAGTACAATGCATCGTTAAATGACGCAGGTGTTTCCCAAAACCATAGTTCGAATGAACGTTCGCAAACACTGTCGTTAAGTTGCATAGCTCGAACTACAGCTCGCGAGCTGTAGTTAGAAGCATAGTTCCGGGTAAATACGTCAGCGATGGTGGTAAATGCAGTCTAATAAGGGTATAGTCACCGTGTAAGTAAGAAATTTAATAATCTTTCATAACTAATAAGGAATAATTTAGCTCTACGATCACATGTAATGTGAAGTTGTCTGAAAATGTAGTTTGAAACGTAATTGTTGTGTGGGTCTCTGGTCATAAGTACGGCAACTGTCTGTAGTGAGCAATAGGGACAAATCTCAGACTACACAGTATTGATTAGCGCAGGGGTGGCTAATTTTATCCAGAAAGGGCCATTAGGCATGCAGCTTATCGCTGCAACTCCGTGCTTAGAGTGGAACGTAGAGGACTGATCGACTGAAGAGTTCACACAACTGGGTTTGAGCAACTGATCGAACGGTTATCCCAAAAAAAACACCGGCCCTTTCTGAATAAGATTGCCCACCCCTGTAGTGCACTTTGATGAAGTACTCCTTATTCCACGAGTGTCTAGCTGCAGAAGGGGCCTGAGAGTGCGTGTCCTCTGTCAGGCCCCATCCACTCTCAAGCCTCTACGTCATTTCCGTTTGAACGACAGAATCCGTCTTGTCACGATAGATTAATTGCCGACTGCCGCTACAGAATCAATCTTGTCCCGCATATAATTCTTAAAACATTGTATGTATGGCTTAACAGTTTATAAATTAATCTTCACATCGAAATACGCATGTGTCGAACTCCTCTCCTTACTACAGGCAACTCGTGTTTACCTCAAAGTCCTAAGACTAGTGCTCAGTCACATAATAAAGTCAGTCAATGTCTGTTATACTGTATTCTGTTGGGTTTGAAAGATAAACAGCTTTCCTTTTGCTGTAATGTGAAAAAAAAAAACATTTTTATTAAAAACAACATAGTTTGTATATAACTAGAATAGTAGTTTTTCTTGTAGAAATTTAAATGAATTCTCATCGGCTCCTTAGAAAAAATTGTTAAACATCGTAAAAATATTATATTATGGCCATTGCCAAAGCACAACTATTATATTTATTGGCAAACATTTATTTAAATTAGGCAATTGTACAACTATTGCAACTTCACTTCAGTGGTCTTCATAATATAATTAATCACTTTTTTTTTTCCCCCAATTAAAAATAACTGGGGGGGGTATCTGTTCCCACCTACGCACTCACGCACACACCCACCCAATTTGCGTCCTTACGTTCACCAGAAGTAAAACTTATCGGAAGGAACTAGAGCGCATTGAACGATCTCACTAGTCCTCCACCATTGCACTCGTCGCTGGGAATTGCTCCTGAAGATCTCCACCGCAACCCAATCGTCGCATGAACGTCAAACCCGTTTCGATCGTCCATCCTGTCGCTCCCGCCGCTGTGGCATCTTTATCTCCAGTCCTGCCCATCTAGTGTTGTAGTCAAGACCGCCTAAACCGAGACCAAGACATTGCCGAGACCGGAGGGTATCAAGACCAAGACACTGCCGAGACTTGAGGGTACCAAGACCAAGTCCAAGACCAAGACACACTAAGGCGAGACCAAGATCAAGACTGGTCGAGACCAAGCCCAAGACCAAAAACAGACTAGGGCTAGAATCGACATCACATTACCCAGATCAACTGTAGAGAAAAAAGGCATTGCTGTAAAGTGTCATTACTCGTTAAATCAAATTCATGTTATCTTTTCAATTATATTGTCCGTATGTCCATATGTCTCTCATTTAAAATCTCCCAGATTTGTCATAGTTACGAGACCTGATAGAAAATAATAT